TCTATTAGAATTTCTCTTAAAAATAAATGAAAAAAGATCATGTGAGCACATATAACTCTCTATTTTTTCAATTTATTTTGATTAAAATTTTTAAAAAAATGTTAAGTGGGCTAAATTAGTATTCTAAATCTAAATTAAGAAATTTTAAAGCTCAACAAACTAAAAATGACCTCACTAAACATTTATAAGAGTAACTCTTTAGGATGTGTTTGGTAGATAGATTTAAAATCATAATTCAAAATACTGATTCAGAATCAGTGTTTAGTTTGAATGATTCAAAATCTGATGTGATATTTTAAACTAGTTTAAATAATGATTCTAAAACCACTCATTCTCTTAATTTAAGGTGATTTCCCCATTCATTTTGCCAATTCAAGTTTTGCTACAGTAAAAAACTCTCAGAAACAGTCACATTTAACTTTTTTACTACAGTAAAAAACTCTTATACAAAGTCATATCTCAACTCGAATCAACGAACTAAACGGGCCCTTAAACTCCCCGTTTGGTTTATGGATTAGAACCATGAGATTAGAACTATTTTTTATTTATGTGTGTTTTTTGTGAGAGAAAATATTGTAACAAACCATGAACTATGATTCAAATCAGAGAACGAATCCTCTAACCAAACGGGCTTATTTTAAATCATAATTTAAACTTAAAATTATAAATCATAATTTTAATTTTAAAATCACAATTAAAATTACTATAATTTAAATTTTCATACGTAATCAATTATTTTGTCAGAGTGGTAGGAAGGTGGTCGATGTCCATCAGAGTTCGGATTTGAGAGATTCGAATGGAAAGAAAGCGCGTCACGTGAATCGCATGGTACCGATGAGCTGTCTTGTTCTCATATTCACGTGATGCAATTGTGCAAATATTTTGTTGTTTTTTTTTTATTTATAGAAAAAAAAGCCCATATAAATCTCATTCTCAACCGCGAATTCCCACGCGCTTTTATTATTGTCTCCAATCCCTATGCAATCTATAATTCAAAACCAATAGTCTTCTTGTTTGTCCAGACTCGGGAGGCAAACCATTATTATTATTATTATTTATACAGAGACAATTACTGAAATTACACGGGTAATAAAAAATTTATTCAATAAAAGCGTGAATTAAATTAAAACGACATTATAATTGTTTCAATCAAGTTTAATTAATTTTTGAAGTACTTTATGGTTCAAAAAATTATGTATTAATATAATATTACGGTTGATTTTTAGTTTAATTCGTATTTTTAATTTGAAGTATATGTATATTAAAATTCAAAAGTTAAAATTTAGTGGTATAATTAAATTTTTTTTTAAAAACTTAAGTGTAAATGTTGTAAATTAAAAATTTAAGTGCAGGGCAAAGTAAGAAGAAAGCCGCAATATATATATATATATATAATTAAAAAAAAAAAAAAAATTAAAAAAAAAAAGATTAAAAAAATTTTCA